AGTCTCCTTCCCATCTCTCAAAACAAACACCTCATATAGTAGTCTCACCTCACTATCAATTTCAATCCCCTCCTTATAATCCCAAACAAACAGGAGGTAAAGCTGGAGGGATTTTAGTCGTGAGTTGGGTTCAGAGAGATGAGTTTTGGGTGGGGGAAGGCCGTGTATGGAGGGAGTGTTGGAACTGTTAGTGGGATATATATATATATAATTGGAATAGTGTCTCTTGAAGGGTTAGGAATGGGAGAGGATAGGAAGGGGTTGTGGTGGTGCCAATGAGCTTGCCAGGGGATGTCATGAAAAGGTTTGAAGACGAGGTGAAGAACATGATTCTAGAGTCAGTGGAAGACTTGTACAATGTAAAGTCTATTATGATTACATCTATGCTTTAAACAGTTAGTTGTTCACATAATCTGATTACATAATCATTGCCGAATTTCGTGAAAATTGTGCTCGATTTTGTAATATAAGGGGTTGTTGGGGATGATCTAAATAAGTGTATTTTTTGTCTTTTTACGAAAATATGTGTAGAAAAGTAGAGAGGTAATGTGATGGAAAAAAGATAAAAAGATAAAAAGATGAATTATTTTAAAGATGCCAAACTTGGCCTACAAAACAATCATGATTTAAATTAACAAAAAAAAATAAAAAATGCCTGTATCTTTTACTGAGAATGAGAATTAACTTTAGTAAAGAAACAAATGAAGATCTGTATTACGCTACAAACGGTGGGTTGAAATGAAAATTAAAGAGCCCAATGGTCAGCCCAAAACTTAGCCTAATCTAGTTGGATCTAACGGCCCCACTTTCATACGGGCTAATCGTCCATAGGTTGTGGGCTAATCGGGGCAAATTGGGGCGGGGCGGGACGGTTTAATTTTGTATATTTTAAAAATAACGATACCAATAAAAGTGTTAGATAATATGATATATTACTAATAATATTTTTATATATAATAAGAGTTAAGAAAAATAACAAGTCAAATAAATATTAAGTATAATTTTTTTATTTTTTTAAATAATTATATATAATGAAAATAAAATAAACAATATAACAAAAAACTTGGTTTGGTTTGATCTTTTAATCTCTTAAATAAAAGGAAAATGATTTACAAATTCACTTTTCAGATTCATTTTCTATATTCAATGATATATTAAGGAGATGATTGGTTTGATAGTTAAAGAAATAAATTAACATATAATTAGGGTTGGGTTTGGGTTGGGTTGGGTTTGAAGTGATGTGTTAGAGAGGTGATGTGACTTAAATAAGATGATGTGACTTAAATAGGATAGTGACTTTTTGACTTTTTGTCTTTTTTCAATCATGCCAAACTTAAATTTAAAAAGTGAATCTAATTTTTAAACTTAAATAATAATATTCTAAACAAAATTGTACAATGGTACGCAAGTTAGAGCATCTCCAATGGAGCTGCTATATCAGTTGCCAAAACTAAAAAATGACAGGAATGGCAAAAATGAGTCTCCAACGGTCTGCTATTTCACTTGCCAAAGATGGCAGAGGCCATATGTGTTCTCAAATTTGGCAAGTGAAATGGCAGATGCCAACCTTGCTAGATCAGTAAAAATCAACAGGAATTTGGCACCGAATTCAGTTGAGAAAACAACAGAATTAATCCAGTAGAGAAGCTATTTACCAAAATCAAACCCAATTTTCACAATCAAGCAAATTTCAGAATGAAATTGACAAAACACACGAAGACAGATAGTATATATATATGATCAAACCCATGAAGACAGATCGTATATATATATATATATATATATATGATCAAAATCAAACCCAAAACATATATATATATATATACATATGAAGACAGATATTTTTGATGGAGATCAAAACACATGAAGACAGATTTTTTTGATGGAGATCAAGATAGATCAAAACATATATGTATATAGATAAAGATCGTACCAGAGACAGAGAGTACACAGATCGGAGGGAGATAGAGTCAAACCAGAGAGAAGGGGTTTCGATCTTGGAGGAGAAGGGGGAGATCGGGTCCGATCATGGAGGAGAAGGGGTTCTGATCTTGGAGGACATCATGGAGGAGGGGGTTCCGATCTTGGAGGAGAAGGGGAGATCGGGTTTTGATCTTTTGCTCTGTTTGATTTCGGCCATGGAGGAAAAGACAGAGTGATAATGAGAGGGAGAGGAAGAGCCGTGGAGGAGATGAGAGTGAGAAGAGAGTGAGAAATTCTAGATGATGTATGGAAAAATAGTGATGCCTCAGTGTAAATAAAGAGCCGTTCGGCTCTGTTTGGTTTGTTCAACAAAAAAAAAAAAAAAAAAAAAAAAAAAACGAAATTATTTTTTACAACGACTCTTTAAACGGCTATTTGCCAAACGGTAATATATTTAATTTCTATAAATTAAAACTTTCCATGCCACTTTTATTTCACATAAATATTTACATTTAATTTTTCTTTTTCTCATCTCTTCTTTGAATCTGATTTCACAACAAACCTCTTAAATTTTTTTCTTTTTAGTTTTTTCATCCAAAAATAGCAAATGACTATTGGAGCACCATTGCTATAATTTGACAAAATAACACTATTCATTGCCAAATTATAGCAATAGCAACCCCAATATAGCAACAACCATTGGAGATGCTCTTAGTCCAATTAATTCAAGGGAACCAAATTACTGAAGACGTGTTTGAGTGCACTTTGGGTTATTTTAGAAAGATGATTAAAAAATATTGTCTAGCTTTTAATTCATTTTGGATCACATCGGTCTTGTTTGGTTTGTTTTTGAGAGAATAATTTTAGATAAATTTTTTTAAAATTTTGTTTGATTTAGTGATTTTGGAAAAAAAATTCCAAAATCACTTTCTCTCTCCTACACATCAATCAATCACTTTTTCTCTCACACACATCTACTTAATTACAACAAAATATCAAATCATCTCAAACTTTCATACTCCAAAATCATTTCCAAAATATACAACCAAACAAAACAAAAAAATTTCTAAACTTTCTCTTCAAATTTTTTTTAAAAAATTTATCTTCCAAAACCAAACCAAACACACCCATCATTTCTCATAGTTTTTTTACGTGTTTCTTTTTAAAAAAAGTCAAAAAAAAGCCAAAAAATTAGCTTTTAATTATCTCCCCAAATTCATCATTTTTGGTTTAAGCACATAGCAATAATTACTTATTTACTAATAATAATATTCTCACTTCGCTGTAGTAAAAACAAGATAGTTATACCTTATCTTTAAAAAATAAAAAATTCGAAGAACATGCACCAGTTTTTACCTATATATTTCATTAAATTTGTGACTTTTTAATTAATTAATTTATTTTTAAATAATCTTCATATTAATTTTAATATTAAATAATACCTTATGAGTAATTTTAGTATTTGCCTTTGTATAAATATTTCTTCTTAGGCACGATCTGTATATTATCCAAGGTTTTGAAAAGCGGTTGCGGTCGCCGTAACGGTGGCGGTGGCGCGATTGCAGTTGCGGGGTGTAAAGGCCATAGCGTAACGGTTGCGGTAACCGGAATCGTGAATTTTTTTTATTTTTCGCACAATTTGAAAAAAACTTACTGATACACACATTTTTTTTCCATGATCATATTTATTGGGTTTTAAAATAAATATTGATCAATTTTTATAAATTTTTAAGTTTGATCAAATATATTTCATATTTTTAAATCACTACAAACTGGATTTTTTAAATTTTATTTTAATAATTAATGACTTTATATTATACAAAAAATCAATCACTAACTATTATATATAAGATAAATAATGACAAAAGTAAGAGAATAAATAAGAGTCTAAATATATATATTCGTATTTTTACCAAGCCAAATAGATAATGACCACACTTATTATTATTATTATTATTATTATTATTATTATTATTATTATTATTATTTTCAAACAATACATAGATAGACACACACAAACAAAATGGTTTAGTGATAGCAGCTGAATAGAATAACATAGGTCTTACAGTTTCAACAAATCAATAACATGTTCTTCATCTTCCCTTTTCTCTCTCTCTATCTCTTGCTCCTCCATTTTCTCTCTTTATCTTCCCTCTTCTCTCCATCCCTTTTCCCCCATTTTCAGCTTTTTTTTGTGTGTTTTTTTGAAAGAAACAGTTTGGAACCGTTACGTAACGGTGCGTAACAGGCCGTTACGGCTGTTACGGCACCGTTACGACCGCTACGGCAGCCGCTACGGCCGGCACACCTGTGAATCTCAATCACACTGCAAAATCGGCCGTAACGGGTGGCGGTAACCACCAAAACCGTTACGTAACGGTGTTACGTAACG